TCGTTTGACACATTTACCAGAATTTACCAGCAAAAAATTCTCGGACTAAAACTGGTAACTTCTGACAGAGAGAGAACCGTATTTACTCTCTTTTTTGTCCTCTCAATAGTCAGAGAACCGAGTACGGGATCGATTTCCAGTAAAATCTGACTGATTCTGACTATTTCTGACTAGTCCGGACTCGTACGGGATCGCAACTCATATGTTTTGAGTCATATGTTTTTGAGAAAAATGCACCGTAGTAATTTTGAAATTTCAAAATTACATTTCTCGACTGAAAAATAAGATATTCGAGCTAACTCGACGGCATACAGTGTGTTTTTTTAACACTTCATGCCAATTAATCGTAGCGCTTTCGACAGAAGCAATATTTTGATATGAGGCAAAATGGCTTTGAAAGCTAATTTAATTACCTTTCAAGGAAAAATATTGCCAATGAGGCACAATCACTCCTTGACCTTCAAAAAATTGGTCAAAAATAGTGTTATTTAATAAAAAAATCTTGCGAAATCCAACGGATATATTAAAAAAAAAAAAACATTTTTTGGATTTTTTATTATACTAATATTATGGATTTTGAGACGAGAAACACGATTCCACTGTTTAAAAAACCAAAAAAAAATGTCAACCCTTCAATTTGAAAAATGCATTATATATTGCATTTTTTGTTATTTGCATGCAGCTGTGCATCCTTCACACAATTTTTGTCCCTCGAACAACAAGTCAGTTTTAGTGCTATTGAAGACCTTTAGTTTAAGCCAAGGTAGAAGTCTCTAGGCCCTTTGAGAGCTAAATTATTACGATTCTATAGTTAAACTTCGAAATTTCATTCGCCATTTTACGCAATCTTTTTTTTTTAATTTCGGAGTAAAAACTAGTACCGCAGTTTCGAAGTTTGGTTTAAATTTTTTATAACTTGGCTCTCAGAGGGCCTAGAGGCTTTTCTACCTTGGCTCAAATTAAAGGTCTTGAATTGCACTTATTTTTCAAGGAATATAAAATTGAGTGAAGGATGCACAGCTGCATGCAAATAGAAAATACAACAAATAATGCATTTTTTAAAATAAGGTGTTCAAATTTTTCTTCGAATTTTGGACAGTGGAATCGTGTTGCTCGTCTCAAAATCTATAATACTAGTATAATAAAAAATACATAAATTTTTTGTTTTGGAATAAATCCCATGCATTTTGCATGTTTTTTTTTCGAAAACTCTACTTTTGACCAATTTTTTTAAGGTCAAGGGGTAATTGTGGCTCAGTGGCCACAATNTATTTTGCATGTTTTTTTTTCGAAAAACACTACTTTTGACCAATTTTTTTAAGGTCAAGGGGTAATTGTGGCTCAGTGGCCACAATTGAAAGGGATTTACTTTAGCTCTCAAAACCATTTTGTTTCGTATCAAAATGCTGCTTCTGTCGAAGGCGCTACGATTAATTCGCGTGCAGAGGTCAAAAAGCACACTGTGGGACTTGTGAAAGGACAAGAGATGCTTATGAAATGCTGTGCATATTTTTCAGATATGAGTTCAGCGACAAAATCTATAAGNCGACTTGTGAAAGGACAAGAGATGCTTATAAAATGCTGTGCATATTTTTCAGATATGAGTTCAGCGACAAAATCTATAAGAAATTGCAAATTTCATACCAGAAAAAAATTCAATTAGCACGAAATTGTACCGGAATTAGAATCATAATACCAAGAGTGTAATTGAAATTTCTAACCAAACTCGGATTTCTCGACCGACTCGGATTTGGGAGGGGAAATTTCCCCTATTTCCCCCGCCGTAGATCCGGCCCTGACGCTTATACTCGGAAAAATCTCCAATACAAATTGACCCGCCCTAATGTACACTCAGAAAAAAGTTGAGTTACGGCAGCTATATGTGTTTTTGAGAAAAATATGTATATTTGACTGAATTTTTTCTGGGTGTATGTATGTATGTACATTAGACTGCATCACCAAAAAAGTTGTGGTTTTTCCGGCGGGATTGCAAAACCTAGTATATTTTAAGACTTCTATCAAAATATTTCGGAAAAATATTAAGCTTTAAGTGAGCTGGACGGGTTTGAAAATACCTCAAAATATGGAGTTTTTTATGAATAGAAATAGTTTCTTGAAGGAAAAATCCCCTCGGATGACATAACAGTTTAAGCTTAAAAAGTCTACATAAAAATATTAAAAAATTGTATCAACGGAATCATAATGAGATTTTTGATGAGTTTTTTTTACTTTTTTCAAAGATTTGTGTAAGAAAAACTTGAATAACTGCGCCAAAACTTTACCGATATAGACTTATGAGGTATCAGTGGAAATGTATTTTCTCACCCTTTTTATTTCCTTNTAAATATGGAGTTTTTTATGAATAGAAATAGTTTCTTGAAGGAAAAATCCCCTCGGATGACATAACAGTTTAAGCTTAAAAAATCTACATAAAAATATTAAAAAATTGTATCAACGGAATCAATGAGATTTTTGATGAGTTTTTTTTACTTTTTTCAAAGATTTGTGTAAGAAAAACTTGAATAACTGCGCCAAAACTTTACCGATATAGACTTATGAGGTATCAGTGGAAATGTATTTTCTCACCCTTTTTATTTCCTTGCAAAAGATCCATTCACGTCCCAATATTTTCATTATCAAATACCAACACATCTTAATTCAACATGGAATGACACTTGTTTATCTTACCTTCCTCTTTCATACGTTGAATGAGCTTATGTACAAAGTAGTTAAAGTAGGAACTTTGAAAACAATGTTTCTGTTTTCAAAAATTAAAACAAAAATTTTTTTCATATACAGAATGTAAAAAAGAAAATAAGCATTTTCCAAAGCAAACTCTTTTAACGAGCAAAATTATTGTTTTTGNGGCTTATGCATGATAAAAACATAGCAAGGTATAACCGTTCTCTCAATTTGTCGGCCATGATTTTTTTTTGAAGTTTGCCAACATTTTAAAATCATATAAAAGTGAAAATAAAAAATTTAAATTGTTCGAAATTGTTGTTGCTTGAGATTGAAAATGAAAATGTGTGTGTGAGTTTGTGAGCAAATTTAAAAATTAAATTGTTTGGAAACGTCAAAAATTTTAAAAGTGCCTCTCAGCGGTTCTACCTTACTATATTTTTATCATGGGCTTATGTACAAAGTAGTTAAAGTAGGAACTTTGAAAACAATGTTTCTGTTTTCAAAAATTAAAACAAAAATTTTTTTCATATACAGAATGTAAAAAAGAAAATAAGCATTTTCCAAAGCAAACTCTTTTAACGAGCAAAATTATTGTTTTTGAGTAATCATATTTCAAGTAACTCGATTAATCATCGTTTTGAGTAATCAAAATCTTGATTACTCGAGTAATTGATTAACCGAATAATTGATTAACCAACTTGCTCGAGTAATCGAATAATCGCACAGCCCTATATTTTTTAAATATTTTTATGCAGACTTTTTAAACTTAAACTGTTTAGTCATATGAGGTACTTTCTTTCAAAAAATATTTAAAAAATGTTTTTATTAATTAAAATCTAAATTTTTGGAGGTATTTTCAAATCCGTCCAGCTCACGTCAATTTTAATATTTTTGCGTGATATTTTGGCGGAAGTCTTAAAATATGATAGATTTTATAATTCCAGTGGAAAAAAAGTACGGATTTTTTTTTTATATTGGGAGTGATGCAGTCTAATGTACATATAAACAAATTGCATATTTAATTACCTGTATTTGAACGGCTTGTACATATAGTTTCTTCTTTTTATTCCGCTTATTACTTGCAGTTTCCCTGCTATTAGCTTTATTGTCGTTGATTTTTCTGTTGAAAATTTCACCAAACGCTCGCGAAGATGCTCTGACGCGCAGTTCAGCTGAGGACTTTGTGATTGTGTACGATGTGACATTAGCGCTTTGTGCACTATCGCTGTCGCTGAATCTGTGCTGCCTGTTGGTGTGTGCGATACAGTTTCTGTTCGCTGTGAAATTGGTGCGATCACCAATGTTCGATGGCAGGTAGGTACACAAACACAAATATCAGTGGATTGACTATTTTACTTAATTTTTGTTTTGGTTTTGCATTACAGAGACAACAAATACTTGGAAAAATCAAGTGCGAGTCGCACCTGTGCAGTTGGCGGTTTTTTCATATCCATACCAATTTTTCTCACTGGTTAGCAGCGGTCTTTTAATTTTGTTTAGAAAAATACGATTACATGTATTTTTTT